CTCAAATTCTGGGGGATCAACTTGGAGGAACTTTGAGCATGACACCTCTTCTGCCAAGGGGGAAAAGTTGGGGCCACGGCCAAACTTCGGGCTCGAGGACAGGGCCTCATTTCTCACATTTGCCTGTTCCCTTTACGTTTTACGGGCTGCGGTCAGAGGGACCTCAAATGACAGTGATCTTCAAGCACCTAACTGGTTGGGGTGACACCCCCTCCCCCTCATCCTTTGGAGCCGAACCAAGGGCTGGAGTCAGGAGAAGGCTTAACGGAAAAAGGCTTAATGACATAGATTCCAATCCCTCTCCTCTTCCATCTCGGATCTCTGGGGGCAGGGCCTTCACCCCAGGGGGAGCAAAGGAGGCTACCGCTCAAAGACAAGGAAAAAAAAAAAAAGAGGGAGAGAGACCTTGGTGATGGACAAACCGGTTGTTTCTGTGGGCGAGCCAGGGGGATGAGGGGGCTGTGGTGGGGGTGGGGAGGTGATTGGCAGCTCCCTGGGGGCATCCCCCACCCCCACCACCCAGGCCTTTAACCCTTCACTCCCCTCAGGCCTTCCCCAGCACTCCAAGCCCCAAGGGAGCCTTCATGGGGGAGGGGGCAGCTTGAGCAAGGGGGGGGGATCACCCCCTCCCTGTTCTTTTCCTAAGTTCCCTTTCCCCCCACCAAGGCAGGTGACCCCTAATTGGTGAGATCTTCAGTCTCAGCCGCGAGCCTTTTCCTTTTGTCCAGTTTTGGAGTTTCTCTCTTCAATTTTTCCTGTTTGCTTTCAGTTTATAAGGTCTGACTGGTGAAAGAGGACCTCCCCCTGGATCCATCAACCCCCTCCCCAGTTTGCTTCTCCTATTAGGAGGGGCAGGGCGAAGGGACCTCCTCCTCTCCCAAAGCGCAGACTTTGCCTGGGGGAAAGGGCCAGAGACTGTCCCAGGGAAAGTAATGGAAGGTGGAAGAAATCAATAAAATCAGACCAAACAAGTTGCCTTTCGAGGTCCTCTCCACCGATTTATGGATGGGAGGGGGTGGAGGTAGAGGGCAGGCCTGGGTCCATTCTTTGGATACCCAAACGCAGTCCCCTCAAAAGCTAGAGAGGAGGCTAGCTGCTCCTAATAGAGGGGGTAAATTACAGGGTTCTTGCCCTAACCTCAAGGGTCCCGCGGGGCTTGAAGGGGCAAAGTTTGGGTTTGAATGGGAGCTGGGCTGTGGCATCTTCAGCTTCCTCTCCTAACTTCAGGCATTTCGGGAGTTGTCAGGGACCTGATGGATCCGATGGGGGCTGGGCCAGGGGATTAGTTTTGAGGTCAGAGGTTCTGTTTTCCAGGGGGGAGGGGAGAGGTAGGCCTGGACCACACCCGGCAGCTGAGAGGATCCCCCAGAGTCAGAGAGGGGTGGAATCGCTTTCCCCTTCACGCAGGTGAGATCAGGGGAGCTTAGCTCTTAGGGACACTCCAAGTTTAGGTGTGAGGGGAACCTGAGGGTGGTAGATCTGCCCGACAAATGAGGGACCCAGTGACCCTTCTGCCCACACTAGTGAATAGCACCCCCTTTTCCCCTAAAAACGGGGCGAGGGAGAAACAGTTCCCACGTATGTTGCTGGGGAAGGACTTGTCTCCTTTTCTGTGAAAATGCTTTGTAAAAAGTTGTTATTGTTTGCATAGAGCAGATTCTTGAGAAAAACTGTTTTGCGCCACAAAAGTTTTGTTTGTTTTAAAAACTGTCTCTTTCCATTTTTTTCTCCGATAGGGGCGAGGGTGGGGGTGGGGTGGGTGGGCGTGGGTTGGGCTTTGCTCTCTTTCTCCTCAACATCTGGCCTTTATGAACCCTGCTGACCTCCCCTCCCCCCCTCCAGCTGTGTTGTGGGGAGGAGGGGGGAGGGCAAGGAGAGCGCCTCCCACTCCCGTGCTTCAGGGGTATTCCGCTTATTTTGCCCCCCAAGAATGGGAAAGGCAGAGGAAGAAGGCAGATGTGAGGGGTGGGAAGAGACTTGCTGTAAAGAGGGGGGTCCTGTGTGTAGGGAGAAATTCAGAAAGGCAGGCTCCTGTTTTTAAAAAGCTCTCTGCTTTTAGTCATGTGGTTCGGGGCAGCTTTGGCCCTTTCGACCAGACTGGGCGGGGTGGTGCGCGCTCTGGGAGAAGGAGAAAGGTGGGTGGTAGGATACCCTTTGCCGACTCTACTTCTCTGAGCAGTGGGATGTGATGCAGTTCATTTTGTCTTCCCTCCTTCCTCCTTAAATGAAAGCATTAAGCATTAAACCTGAGCCTGGAAGGAGTCTGGGCGGTGAGTTAAAAAACACACCTTTTGGACAGACCGGGAACTCCCCTTGCTTGCTGACTGGTTTAATTTGGAGAACCTCGGAGCTGGGGGCTTCTCTAGAAGCTTTCTAGTCATTCAGCACAACAGGGGACTGTATCTGTTTTCCTGAGCTGCCGTAACAATTTACCACAAACTTGGTGCCTTAAAACAAAGGAAATCTTTTCCCTCACAGTTCCGGAGGCCAGAAGTCCAAAATTAAGGTGTCAGGAGGGCCATGCTCTCTCTGAAGGCTCTAGGGGAGAATCCCCTCCCTGCCTCTTCCAGCTCCTGGAGGCTCCGGGCGCTCCTTGGGTTGTGGCCGCATCACTCCCGTCTGCCTCGGTCTACATGTGGCCCTCCCCTCTTCCGTCTCTTATAAGGACACTTAATGGATTTAGGGCCCACCCACATAATCCAGCATGATTTCATCTTGACAACTTTGCATGTAGTTAACACCTGCAAAGACCCTTGTTGCAAAGAAGGTCACATTCACAAGTTCCAGAGGGAGGGGAGTTAGGACACAGCCAGATCTTTTTGGGTGCCACCATTCAGCCCACCCCAGAAATGGAGTTCCTGAAAGAAGGAACTGCCCAGATTTTCTGGGGAAAGGAAGCATGTGTTGCAGTGTGTGGGGTTGGTCTGGGGTGCTGCCCCTCTGGACGTGGGGCCGCAAGTCTCCCTGAATTGGAGCAGCTTGGTGAAGGGGTAGACTTGGTCTCCTTGCTTTTTCCAGGCTGACCCCAAGGATGCTAGGACTCTGCCCCCCACAACACTCACTGAGGGGGCGGGGAGGGCAGCTCAGTCTCCCCAGGAGGGTCCCCGGAGGCTCTCCCTTCCTCCTGTCCTGTTTCCTCGCCCTTCGGAGCTGCCCTTCCACCTCTGTGGGTATCTCCAGCCCCTGCTCCCAGATTGTCCCTGTGTGTCCTTCCTTCTACGTCTCCCCACCCAGACGTTGCGTCCTCTGAGGCTCTGCCAGTGGCCACCCTGGGTTTGGTGGGATGTGGAGATCAAGTGTCTTTCTTAGCTTCTACCTGGGTCTCTCTTACTGGGTTTTTTCCTTTCCTTTAGTCTCAGAGGGTCTCTGTCTGTGGGCCCCTACCTCTCAACAGCTCTGGGGCCGGTTGTCTGCCCCTCCACATCAGGACCGCCTGCGCGACCGTGAGAGTGAGGGCCTCCTTAAATTTTGTTCCCCAGGCCCCTCGCCTGCCTCACCCTAGTCCAGCCCTGCTCACCATCACCTCTCTCCTCCTGGGAGCCGCCCCCACACCCTCTGCTTCTTGCTTCTTAAATCTTTGCAGCTTGACTTCTGCTCCCTGAAATGGCTCTTTCCAGGGTCACTCACGGCGACCCCCCAAACACAAATCCAATGGTTGCCTCCTGGCCATCCTGACCCCTGTATCTCTTCATGACCTCCGCTGGATGTTCGCCAGGGTCTCCTAGTTCTGTCCTGTAAGAAGTCCCTGCTCTGTCTTCTGTGCCTCCTCTTCTTTCTCTGACCTCAGGAAGCTTTAAAATACAGGGAGCCCCGTGATGTCCGGGTGGTGTCTACCCTCCGCCCGCATGTCCCCACACGTGATGTGCTTTGCCTCTCCCTCTCAAGCCTTCATCTGGCACATGCATAGGTATGGGAGTCGAAATTACTGTCCCAGCCTCCTCTTCCTCCAGCTCAGCCCCTCTCCTGAGCTGATCTCTGAGTGGTTGCTGGCAACTCATACTTTCCCTATTGAAAACTCAGCTCGGTATCTCCACCCACGGCCCACATCAGCCCCCCTGGTCAAGCCCACATTCTGGATATAGCTCTGCCTTTCTCCCCAAGGCTCAGCTCCTTGAATCCTCACTGGGTCCTCTCATTTGACTCACTGTTGTCTGTTTCTGAACCTCCGTCTCCCACTGGCCTCTCCAGGGCCTCTCCTCTCCTCTCCATCAGGGTGCAGGGGGCACGATGCCTGGTGTGGACTGTTGCAGTAGCCACCTAACTAGTTTCTGTATCTCTGGTTTTCCTCTGATCTCCTCACATCCAATTACCTTCTTATTCAGCAGGTCCCCTGATTTTATTAGATGCAGCCTCCTTGGCCTATCATTTGGGGCCTTCTAGGATTTGACCTTAACCCTCATGGCCCTGTTTCTTCACTTTATATACCATGTGGTCCATCACATTGGATTGCCCTTCCTTCCCCAGCCACCCACCTCTTTCTCTACCTTCCTTCTCCAAAGCCCATTTGAAATGGTGTCTCCTCCACAAAAGCCTTTTTTGACACCCCCCCTCCCCCATTGGATGTCATCCATGCCACCTTTAAGACCCTCTTTACTCTTTTATGTCTGGGGCAGGGGCGGTGGAGTGTGGTGCAAGAATAAGGGCTTTGGAGCCAAATACTCCTGTTGCCCCTTTCCACAGAGAGCCTGGGAAGCTAAGTCAGGCCGTGGAGGGGAGAGGAGCTGGAAATCACCTTTCTGACCTAAGCTTTCGGTTTGTTGCTTTGGCCTTAACTGAGGGTTATTAACACAAAACGGACACTTCAAAATCACTCCTATAATTGTAGAAACTTCCCGAGAAGACACTATCCAGTGTGCCAAATCCCCCTACATGGTGTTTATGCTTTCTTTAATTAAAGATAAAAAAATTAAGATTATTGATGATAAGGTTGTAGTTGTGATTTTTTTCTTCATCTTTCTACAGTCATCTTGTACCTTTCTCTTCATTTTCTTTAGGTCCTGGATCTGTGTCCTGTACATCAGGCGCCTAATGAGTACTTGTCCAATGCAGAGTGCGTATTTTAAAAGGCTTATTTAAAGGACTGTGCAGCCGCCACTGGAGTGGCCCTTGGCCAGGATGCAGTTCTAGAGCCGTCCACAAGATGCTGCTGTCTGCTAGCGCTAGAGGATGATGCCCGGCTGAGGAAGGGTGGGTCGGGGAAGAAAGTAAGTCTTCCACACAATTGAGCACCTCCCAGTGCTGGGTCCTGGGGAGAGGGATGTGTTGGACATGGTCTCTGAATACAAGGAACTAAGTCAGGTGCTTTGCATACATTGTCTTGCTTTCATAACAGTAGATGGGTATTATTATCTCTGTTTAGTAGATGAGGAAATGGAGGCTCAGAGAGGTTAATGAATTTTCCTGAGGTCACACAGCCAGTGGAGGAGCAGTTTAACTCTGGTCTGTCTGATTGGGTTTTCCCCTAATAGCGATTGTTATAGCAAACATTTACATGGCACTTGCTTGGAGCCTGGCACTGTCCTAAGTGCTTTATGCCTAGTCACACATCTAATCTGCAGAACAACACTAACAGGTAGGTACTATTATTAGCCCCATTTTGCAGCTGGGGAAACTGAGGTATAGAGAGGTTAATCTGACACAGAATTGTGCTGTTAGAGTCTGTGCTCTTTTTAAAATTTTAAATTATTATTATTATTTTTTTAAAGATGTATTTATTTATTCATGAGAAACAGAGAGAGGCAGAGGCAGAGGGAGCGAAGCAGGCTCCCCGCTGAGCAGGGAGCCCGATGGAGGACTCGATCCCAGGACCCTGGGATCATGACCTGAGCCGAAGGCAGACGCTTAACGACTGAGCCACCCCGGGGCCCCTCTTTTTTTTTTTTTTTAAAGATTTTATTTATTTATTTGACACAGAGAGAGAGAGAGAGAGAGAGAGCACAAGTAGACAGGGCGGCAGGCAGAGAGAGAGGGAGAAGCAGGCTCTACGCTGAACAGGGAGCCTGATGTGGGGCTCGATCCCAGGACCCTGAGATCGTGACCTGAGCCGAAGGCAGATGCTCAACCGAATGAGCCACCAGGGCCCCTCTTTTTTTTTTTTTTAAGAGTTTATTTATTTTTATTTAGAGAGAGAGGGAGTGTGCACGTGCTGTGGGGAGGGGCAGAGGGAGAGAGAGAATCTAAAGCAGATTCCATGCTGAGCTTGGAGCCCGATGTGGGATCCGATCCCACTACCCTAAGACTATGACCGGAGCCGAAACCAAGAGTTGGACGCTTAACTGACTGAGCCACCCAGGGGCCCCCGAGTTTGTGTGCTCACTGACCACACTGCTGCCATGTTTCAGCACCTCAGCCGCAACCAGCTACAGACCAGAGGTAGCCTCCCACCAATATTTGGAAGTCACAGAGCTCTGTGCCAGAGACGCAAAGACACAGAAACTGACCCTGAGGAGCCTAAAGCTGCATGGAAGAAGGAGGACATGCAGCCTTCTCCTTGGGGTGTGGGCTCTCCACAGATGTGCTGTCTACTCTAGCTGAGTGGTTTACCCTTTCTGGGCTTGGGGAGCGGGATGTGTCATATGACCACCTGAAACCAGGGAACTCTGTAGCAGGAAGTGACTCAGACACAGGAGGTTTGTGATCCATGATGATCGACTGCAAAATTATAGCACTTTAAAAAAATAGAGGGAAAGTTATCTACTTTAAAATGCATGAAAATCCGTCCTGATGAACGTTTACATGTGTGCACACCCATGTGATCATTACCCATTTCTAGTCTTGCTCTCTGGGAAGCTCCGTCAGGCTCACTCCCAGCCGGTCCCCTGACCTGGACGTAACCCCCTTGCTGGCCTCTATCAGATTCATTTGGAATGGTTTTAACTTTCATCGAAGTGAAAGGTACTTTTTTGGTTCTGGCTTCTTTTGTATAACATTCGGGATTCATCGTGTTGTTTCACGTGGCAGTCATTTATTCTTTTCATTGCCATGTAGTATTTCTATTGTATGAATATTCTATAATTTCTACATTCTGTTCATGGATCTTTGGGTCATTTCCCATTTTCAGCTTTGTGTATAAAGTTGTGTGGCCCAATTTTAAAGGAATTGGGAGGGGCAGCAGCAAAGAACTGAAGGGCACTCACACTGACTCAAGCATTAACTGGGCAATGGGCTAAGGGCTGGAGATAAGAAATAGCTAAAACCCTATATTTCTCTCCCCAAAGCTTGCAGCTTAGTAAGGGAGAGAGACAAGTGAGCAAACGGCCACAGTACAGCAGAACAAGATGGAGATTAGTGAGGCTGAAGGAACAATGGGGCTTGTAGGAGCCCTGGGGGATCAGGGAGGACTTCCCAGATGAGGAGAAATCTGAGTTGTGTCTCAAAGGTAGATAGGAATTCATGAAGTGAAGAAGGCCAGGGAAGTGTTGAGGACAGAGCACAAAGTGGGCAGCTTGAGTGAATGGGACTCTGAAACAGATCATATTACCTGGAGCACAGGGTACAAATGACAAGAGATGAAGGAGACAGAGGTCAGATCACAAAAGATCTTGTGTATCAGGGCGAGGAGTTTATTCTGAAGGCAGCAAAGAGCCCCTGAAGGATGGTCCAATCAGACTGTGGTGGCCATAAACTCTCCTTTACTTACTTTTTTTTTTTTTTTAAGATTTTATTTATTTATTTGACAGAGAGAGACATAGCGAGAGAGGGAACACAAGCAGGGGGAGTGGGAGAGGGAGAAGCAGTCTCCCCGCCGAGCAGGGAGCCCGATGCGGGGCTCAATCCCAGGACCCCGGGATCACGACCTGAGCCGAAGGCAGATGCTTAACGACTGAGCCACCCAGGCGCCCCTCCTTTACTTACTTTTTGTTCCACAAATATTAATTGAGCCCTTACTTATGTGCGGGGCATTGTGCCAGGTATTGAGAGACAGTGTGAGCAAAACAGGCAGGGTCCTGGCTTTCTAGAGCTTGGTGGGTGGGGGACAGACAGATCGTAGTCAACAATCACACAGCTGAGACAATTGCTGTGAAAGAGATGTGCATGGGGCCACGGGCTGTGCCGGGAGGGTCTGACCTAGTCCGGGAGAGCAGAGGCATCTCTGGGGAAGCAGTGCTTGTGATGAGCTTGGAAAGATGACTGGGAAGGATGGCAGGGAGAGGAGAGGGAGGTGTTCCAGGTGGCAGGGACAGCTGGATCAAAGTCTTGGGGCTCGGGGAGCTAGGTGAGCTAAGTGCATCCAAGAATGGAGTATGGCCAGGGCCTAGAATAGGGGAGAGGCTGCACAGAGGCCTTTCTGTGCAGGGGTAGGGCCGGACCTTGCAGGGCCTTGTGGGCTGAGATAAAGAGTTTGCCTTGTTCTCGAAGCACTGGGGAGCCAGAGATGGGTGTAAGCAGGGCTGTGACAATCAGATTTGCGTTTGGAGGGGATCTCCATGTCCTCAGAGTGGACGATGGGAGCAAAGGCGGATGTGGGGAGGTTGCTGAGGAGACTGTTGTTGCAGTCCAGGCAAGAGGTGAGGGTGGGGATACAGGCATGGAGTGAAGCAGATGCATGTACCATTGGCCAGATGTGGGGAGGGTCACATGGGGATGGGGAGAGGGCAGTGACCACAGCAAGTCTCAGGACTCTGGCCTCAGACACTGGGTTGACAATAAGACAGGGAACACTGTGCTGGAGTGGGATCTGGGGGAACATCCTGAGCTCGGATTTGAACACATAGAGTCCAAGATGCCTTTGAGACATCCAAGTGGTTGTTTGGGTCTGATGCTCAGGGAAGAGGGGAAGGCTAGAGATATACTCATGTGATCACGTGTGTGTCCATGGGAATGGAGGTTGGGAGGCTGGATGTGGGGCTCAGGGAAAGACTGAAAAGGGAAAAGAGAAGAGGGCTTAGGGCCTTGACAAATGCCCACGTTTCACTGGAGGACGGTGCCAAGTATTGGGGGGCGGGTGGAGGCAGGGAGACCCGCTTGGAAGCTGTGAGAAAGGAGAGGAGTCCGCAGGGAGGAGGAGAGCAGAGTCCTCACTGGAGAGGCCTTTATACAGTAGAATTGCCAGCACTGAGTGTGGGGTGAGGGAGAGGAGGAGTCTGGGAGTCTGGCTTGGATCTCAGATTTTGGCCTTTGGTGCCCAGGTGGGTCTGCTGCCCAAGAGGGAAACCTGAACTGGAGATGAAAATGTTTGGAGTCATCCGCATATGACTGGAAAACAAGAATGACCGGCTAATGGGTGTCAAGAGAAGAGGGCTGCGAGAAGAGAACCCTGAGGGACATTAACGAAGGTGAGAGGGACAGCTGGGAGGTAGGATGGAGGCCAAGGAGGCTCTGGTGATCACGGTTGGTTGGCCACCAGAATGTGTGCTCAATGGCTGCCCAGCTGACTCGCCACCCAGCTTCCCTCAAGGTCAGGTGGCCGTGTGATTGCATTCCCTCCAGTGGGGTGCCAGGGGGAGGTGGTGTGGGCGCTTCTCCACCTGGGCTTTAAGACTCTAGGTGCACTTTTCTACACTGCCTTTCCCCTTCCTGCCCCAGAGCCCAGCATGGCGGCCACCCAGCTCGTCTTGAGTCACCGATAATACCCTCTAGGGGGCAGTGCAGCAACACAGCAGAAGGAGCCTGGGTTTGGGACTGCCCGCCCAGTGGTTTCCCACTGCCCTGGAATGTTCCCTCTGAACATGGGAAGGAAGAAGCTTTACATTTTTAAGCCACCGTCTTTTTTGGATCTCTTTGCTATAGGAGTTTAGCTGAACTAATTCGACTTAGCCTAACTAAGCTACTACAATTTAAGCATAACTCAGCTAATACCATTAATTAGCCTAATAAAGAATTAGCTAGGCTACTGTTTTATTATATCGCAATTTATTTTATTTTATTTTTTTAAAGACTTGATTTATTTGCCAGAGAGAGAGAGAGAGCAAGAGTACAAGCAGGGCGAGCAGCAGGCAGAGGGAGAAGCAGGGTCCCCGCTGAGCAGGGAGCCTGACTTGGGACTCGATCCCAGGACCCTGGGATCATGACCTGAGCCCAAGGCAGATGCTTAACCAACTGAGCCACCCAGGCGTCCCATATCACACTGCATTTTAATTTATATTGTGTTAGGCTACTAATACGCTATAACTTATCCTAATACAAGAACCAAGGGAGGACAGTGCATCGAGAAAGAGAAAGAGGGGAACAGTGTTGAATGTTGTACAATGATCAGATAAAAAGG